AACACAATCCTGCCAGAAGCCGTGCACTTTTGGGAGAGAGCACTTATGGTGCGAGAAACGAAGAATACCATCAGACTGAACAGGTTAGAACATACATTTTTTTCTTTGCTTTTTTATTCGGAATTGCTTTTTTTAACGAGGCTATTAATATCGCGAATAATTTAATTTCAACGCGAGAGAGAGAGAGAGAGAGAGAGAGAGCGAGAGAGAGAGAGAGAGAAGAGACAAGAGAAACACAATATTGTAGGATGCTACGACGTATGCATACTTGTTTTACATACACGCCCGATGAGGCACTCGCGTTTATTTGCATAGAGACTGAAATGCTAAGCTAAAAGGGTGTGAATATGTATATATATATTTGCGTTAGCCCCATACGGCTGGTCTAATTCATCGCCACACAGCCGTACCGTAGGCAAGTAACTTCTGTTCGCGTTATGAACCATTTGCTTTTTGAATTTTGCAGTTGTTCAATCGTTAATAACTATAAAGTTTTCTAATTTTTTACGATCCGCCTTTTTTTTTTCTTTTTTTTTTTTATTGTATCTTTTCAACAATTTTTTCCATTCTTTATTTCTTTCTAACTTTCGTTTCCACTTCTTCTTCTTCTTCTTCTTCTTCTTCTTCTTCTTCTTCTTCTTCTTCTTCTTCTTCTTTTCAAATTTTACCTCACGCAAAATAGTTGTGCGATCTCATAAAATAGTGTGCTCAATGCCAGCTACGGCCACACTTCTCTTTTATTTTATCGTACATTTTTTTTTTTCTTTTTCCTTTTGAGATGAAAATATCCCCGCGCAGATTTGCACGATTTCGTAGAGCCTCAGCACAACGAGAGAGGGATGTGAAAATTAAAATGTATGTAGGTATATGCACGGATGGGAAAAGAACGCAAATATTTGTGGTACATTCTACATACTTTTTTTTCGTCGCTGCAGTTACCGCAATGTCGCCGCAGTTACGTACATATATCTACGTTGGTATGTAGCTACCTACGTAACTTAAATTAATACGAGCGAGCTCGTATATACCGCGACGTCGTTGACCAAACAGAGTACAGCCGATGTTCCGACATACATACACCGCGAGTATAATAATACCTCGGACACTTCCTGCGTTCATTTGCGGCCACGTAGAAATCCAAGATAATTGCGATTCCACGACCATAGTAACACCGTTCTCTATACTTTCCCACTCTCTCTCTTTCTCTCTCTCTCTCTCTCCCTCTCTCTCCCTCTCTCTCTCTGACTTTCATTTCCTCTTTGTTTTTAAATAATTATTAATAAATATATCTCTTTAATCATTATTATTTGTAAAATGTTCTTACGTATATTTTGTCAGGATAATTTAACGATCGATTTTAATGTGCGTTATAAATAAAAACAAAACGAAACGAAAAAAAAAGAATCAAGAAAGAAATAAAAAAAAAAAAAAAAAAAAAGGAAAAAAAGAAAAAAGAAAGAAAGAAAATTGTATATTAAAAAGTTAAAATGTTGGAAGCTGTCAGCTTGCTTTCTGTCGATCGTGCGTAACATTAACATGTAAATGTGCCGATAGAATGGGAATGGCGCCGACACAAGGAGGGATGGAAAATCGAGCTTCCATTATTCGAATCACTCGATTATCCCGATAGCTTCGTTCACCGCGTGGGCCGTTCCGATAAACGTCGCCGATACTCTCGCGCAATTGGCCTCGTTTTTCGTAGCAAAGAATCCTGAATTTATATTTAAAATGAAACGTTATCGTTATTTCAACGAGATTATAAAGAAAAGAAAAAAAAAAAAGAGAGAACAAAAGAACAAAAAAAGAGGAAATAAGAGAGAGAGAGAGAGAGAGAGAGAGAGAAGCAAGGTTTCATTACCAAAGTGAATGAAAATTATCGATTAGGGTCTGTAAGTTCTTTGAGATTAGATAGGAACGTCTATCTTCTTGGAATAATCCGCGCAGATTACCCGTCGCAGACGAGAACGCAAACTCGATCGGAGGGGGGATAAAAGATTCCCTCGTTTTTTTCTTTTCTTTTTCTTTTTTTTTTTTTTTCTTTCTTTCTTTCTTTCTTTTTTTTCTCCCCCTTTTCGTATTTACCCTTCCGAGACGAGATTACGAGGATGAAAATTACAGAGGAGTGAATCGTTCAACGGCCGTTCACGTCATCGTCGTCTAGACATCGGTCAGTGTAAACTCGATCGACCTGATACAAGAACGAGTATTGAGTTAGGGGAGGAGGGGGAAAAAATAGGGATAACTTAACGTGGGATAAGAATGGAAAGGATCATCGTTACGATCGTTCGTGTATATCGAGTTTATCACGCTCGAATAAATGTCTCGTACTTGTCTTGAATATTTTCAAGAAGAAAAAGACAATAATAAGAAGAGAAATAATAAAGTATGTATAAACGTGTTTATACATAAGTACAACACCGTGTATACGTGTGTACGTGTATATGAAGGAGGGAGAATGAATGATCTCAATTTCTCGTTACATGTATGTACATCAATTTTTTCGCTATTATTATACCCAATAAAAATCCATGTGATAAACCAAATCGGTAATCTTAACTCGTCACCTGTCAAATTTTGATACTTTGAACGATGTATCCCTTCGTCTATATATCATTGTAGAAAATTTCACGTCAAGAACGATAATGTCAATGTGAATCTCGTCTCTTTCTTTACCTTATCCTTTCCTTCGTCCCTACTGTACATAGGATTTTTCTTATTAAAGAAAAATATCCTTCTTTTTCATCGAGGACTCATGAGGCATTACGAAAATGTTATTATTGTTTTTTTTTTTTTTTTTTTTTTTTTTTAATCATTCATCAGACCGAAGATACGAGAATAAAGATCTATGAAGTTTTCAATTGAAAATAATATTCTCTCGTCTGATGGAAGAACTAATTTGTTGGAAATTCTCATTATCGTCTCATTATCGTCACTATCGATACATATATATATATATATATACGTATCATTTATTATACGAATCATTTTCAATGCCGAATCGTCATGAGAGATGACATTAAAAGCTAATCGCGAAATGCAAGATGAAAGGTTAAAGCTATAAATATTATGGAGTATTCGCAGCGTGAAAATTGTAAACGGGAATAGATAGAGAAATAGTTTAATGCGCGTTCATCTATATACTTTATATTTTCAAAAATATGCTTTCAATATGTAGAGAGATATACGAGAAACGATCACATTCCTTTTTTTTTTTCTTTTTTTTTTTTTCTTTCTTTCTTTATTTCTTTCTTTCTTTCTTTCTTTCTTTCTTCTTTATGCGACGGAAGCATCGTGCACACGCAAACGAGTCGATAGCTCGTCGTCGCTTCTATAGCTCTTTGCTGTTCAACGAGAGATTTTACACTTGACGTTTCTGTCGTTTTACGAAACGTTACGACATTCGAACTCTAATGTATTTCCTGTCGTTCGTAAATGACGATCGATCTTAAAGAAATCCTTAAAATGATACGAAGAAAGTAAGTGGCTGAGAGAAATGTTCATGGTAACGATAAAAATTTCCCGTGAACGACTTTATCTCGGCTTGATCTTGGTTTATGAAAAATTCAAAGAGTTCCTATCGGTGTTTTCTTTTATCCTATTTGATTTGCGCCTAATGCATATTTAGAAACGCGAAAAGTTACTTTACTATCCGGAAATCATTTCTATTAAGATTACGTAAAATTTATGTATTATATTCGTCAATTATAAAAAATTGTAAATAATACATATGAATTTTTTTTTCTTTTCTTTTATGTACATATATATATATATAATCAGAGAATATACGAGACGGTATAATCAGTAATGAAATTTACTAAATTATAATATTATAGTTCGAAAGTATGAAATTAGTTTTTACTTACTTTTTGTTGCGATAACGGCATAAGAGAATACATAGTGAGTGAGATTTCACCGAATTTAGTACAATTATTTTGTTGCAGTGGTCGTATAAATCTTGTCCGGTACAGCGTTACGTGTTAATGACCTCTAATAATTACTTACACCGACAATGCCCCGGCATGTACTGGCTAACTTGAAATATATATCTCACAATTAAACAGGCTCCTTCTTGGTCCGAGCGAGAGTAGGATAATACGTACTTTTCACAGCTGCCTAATTTGCCATTCATTATATTCACATAACATCATCGTTTTACTTTTTTTTTTACATATATATATTGTATATACATTTTATTATATTTTTTCTTTATCCCTCTCTCTCTCTCTCTGTTAATTCTTAAGTCCATGTAAATTTATATTAACGTGATACGTACTTACGTTTAAGCTCGAACTCGCAACTCATAAAAAAAAATTATACATATATATATATATATATATATATATATACATATATGTATTTAAATATGTAAAGTAGTCGTCTTGATAAAGCCTTATTTTAAGCTCGGTAATATATCCGCATAACATTCACGCAAAACGAGAGAGAGAAAGAGAGAGAGAGAGAGAGAGAGAGAGAGGGAATCTCGTTCAAAAGAGGTCGCCATATTATTTGCATTACAAAAACGTTTTTGATTTAAGAAAGTAAAATAACAATTAACGCTTCAGCCACACGGTTCGCGTGATTCGTTTGTCTACGCGGCCGTGATGCCAATCGAAATTATATATGCGCGAACGAATAGAAGGTGGCACGTCAGGCGGCATATTTATTTCGACGTAGATAAGGTTGCTTTGCTTGGTTAAAAAAAAAAAAAAAAAAGAAAAAGAAAAAGAAAATAAAAATGGCAAACACTCCCGTACAACACATACCTATCTGTTATTACTACTACTATTACTACTACTACTACTACTACTACTACTACTACTACTAACTACTATTACTACTACTACTACTATTACTACTGCTGGCTGCTGTTACGCGTGCACAAGCTCGTAAAACAAAATCTTGAAAAAGCGCGTACAAGTTTTCTAATCTTAATCGACTTTTTCCTTTTATGACTCGTAAGAAAGAAGCGAAGAATAATTTCGAACAATCTCAGATAAGGAAGATTCATTTTTCTCCCGATAATCGAATCAATCTTAAATCTATCTGTCTTGAAAATTCTAATGAAAAATTATTCTCTCTCTCT